CGTGGGACTCGACAGGTTCTTTGAAACGGGAGTCTCACATCACCTGATGCGAACTTCACCTGGGCTTGTGTGTTTTCCAAGTTCTGATGCAGAGGTTGGGCTAGAGATGTGCAACTGCCCTGAGCCTCCAGATTGTCTGCGTCCCCTCTGTGTTGGGGTTGGGGAGACCCACGGGGACCTGCTTGCTCAGAGCTGCCTGGCAGAGGCCAGGGCAAAGCTGCCTTCCCTACCTGGGTCCTCCCTCACCTTCTTGCTTCTGGAAAGTCCTGGTTCCAACGGGTCGCGTCGGCCTCCTGGAATCTGGACCCCAGCACCTGCGGTTGTCTAAAGGCCTTGGCCAGTGCTTTACCCCATCTATCCAGGGGCCCCCGGTGTGCCCGGTGCTCCATTCACCCACAGGCACTTACACACACACCTGCGTGTACGTGCACAAGCGTGCATCACAGTGGTAGAAACCCAGGTCTCAGGAGGGAGCAGCTGCCGCCCAGCGCTGAGGAAGAGGTTAGTGCACCCTGGCCCCCTGTTCTCCCCAGAGCCTGTGGGCGGGGGTCCAGCCTGTGGTCTCTGCTCCCTCCCTCCTCCATCTCCCACCCCAGCTCTGTCCCGTGGGGCCTGGGCCACCTGCTCCCCATCACCTGGTGGGGAGGGGGTTCCTGGTGAGCCCTGGTGGGGCTTTCCCCCTTCTGAGCTGCAGTGTCCCCAACACCTGCACATAGTAGGTCAGAAAGATCTCCACTGAGCGAGGTGTTTGCTGAGGAACCTCCCCTCACTCATGAGAAGCACCAGTGTCTGCGACACAGATTTGGTCAGAAGCTGCAGACATAGTGGGGCCCCCCGAGGGTCACTCGGCTCCCTTTGGTCTCTCCTCCCACTGTTCCTCCAGAATCTTCCATCTTCAGTCTCCACATCAGCCCTCTGCCACGAAGCAGCAAACTGAGCAAGAAGCGCATGTGTCTGGCCCCTGGGCAAGGCTTGTGGATGCCGCCAGAGCATTCTTTGGATGACTGCCTGGAAAATGTACCCATTTTCTCTTTTTATTTAAAAAAAAAGAATGAAATTGACATAACATACAATCAATCATTTTCAAGTGAGCCATTCAGTAGCGTTCAGTGTATTCAGAAGGCTAAGCCACCACCTCTCTGTGGTTGCAAAACTTTTTCGCTGTCCCAGCAGAACACCCACTACCCATCAAACGATCGCTCCCCATTCTTCCCCGCCACGTCCCCAGCCCAGGCCCCTGGAAACCACCCATCTGCTTTCTGTCTCTATGGATCTGCCTATTCTAGATGCTTCAGATACATGGAATCATAATGCAGGTGTGGCCTTCCGTGACTGGCTTCTTTCACTGAGTGTATTTTCATGGTTCACCCATGGTCTAGAAGGTATCAGTCCTTTTTCAGGCTGAATCATGTTCCGCTGTGTGTATGCACCACAGTGGTTTCGTTTGCTCTTCTGTTGATGGGTGGTCCCACCTTTTGGCTACTGTGAACAGCGCTGCTGGGAACGTTCGTGAACAAGTCCCTGAGTATCTGTTTTCCGGTCTTTTAGGCGTCTACCTAGGAGGGGAATTGCTGGGTCATACGGTCATTCTATGTTTAACTTTTTGAGGAACCACCAAACTATTTTCCATTTTACTTTCTCACCAGCAATAGATGAGGGTCCCCATTTCTCCACATCCTTGCCCGTACTTCCTATGTTCTGTTCCGGTTTTCTCATGCTTTGTTTTGTCTATTACAGCCATCCCCGCGGGCGTGCAGTGGTAGCTCGTTGTGGTTCTGATTTCATTTCCCGGTAACTAATGATATCGAGCATCTTGTCACGTGTTTATTGGCCATTTGTCTGTCTTCTTGGGAGAAATGTCTGTAATCAAGTCCTTTGCCCATTTTTCATCGGGTGGCTTGTCTTTTAGTGGTTGAGTGGTAAGCGTTCGCTCTTTATACAAATTGTGCTACACAAAGAAGCTAGAGAAGATCAGGCCACTTGCCCAAAGTCTGGGAGTCCGGCCAGAAATCAATCTTCACCTCCTCACCCCACTCCCCGCCTCAGCTGCAGTTAGATTATTTTTGTGGCTGGAGCTGTTGCTGACCTGCGGATGCCTCAGACAAGCTATTAGGGAAGGAAAAGATGAGGAAGAACAAAGGGAATCGCTCTTCTGAAAGGACTTCCCAAGGGCAAGCGTCCCAGGGACGCCTTCTGTCCCAGAAGGGGCTGAATATTCTGGAAGCTGATTCCCAACTAGGCGCCTCCAGCTGTGTCAGTGTGAACATGCTTACGCATCTGGTGTGTGCCTGTGTGTTCACGCATGTGCACAGATGTGTGCACCTGCAGGTGCCACAGCTGCCAGGACCCACACCCTCCACATCCCCCTCTTTCCCTGTGATGCCCACAGGCTGCAAGGGGAGGTGACTGGGAGCATGGCTGAGCAGGGCTGCCACCTGCTGGTCACACTGGGCTCTGTAGGCAGGTGGCCTGCAGGGCTGGACACCTGGTCTCCCCGGTCAGCTGTGGCGGTTGCTGCCTTTAGAGCTCCGGAAAGGACCATTTCCTCTGGCCCCTGTCACCCCTGTGCCCCTGAGGGCCTCCCCAGGGAACAGCTGCAGGGGCCTGATAGCCTTCTTGGCACCAGGAGCCCCTCTCCAGTCAGATAAAGCCATCAGAATAAATCAGAATAATGTTTTTAAAAGCACAATATAAAATAATAGAATTACAAAGGAAACCAGTTACCAAAATAGCAATGGTAATGTATGTGCTTTGAGAAATAAGATCTGGCGTCAGGTCTAAGAGCAAATGTAATTTTGAAGACACAGTCGGCACAGCTGGCGTATTGAGAGGCCCACACGGGATACGAGGAAATTTGTGAGGCTCGCTGATGCAGAGTTGCAGGGGCTGCTAACAGCCCTGCCGTCTGAGGCCTGTACTCACTCATGGTGGAAGGCAGTGCCTTGATTTGATTACAGGTTTGTAGACGTGAAGGTGGAGTTTCTCCCACCCAAGTTCATGAATTCTCTCCATGGATCCCTTGGGGGTCGGGCACCCCAGGTTAGGAGCCCCCGGCCGGAATCCTGCCTGGCTGCCCCAGGACCTCCTCAGCCTCTTGTCCTGCTGCCAAGCAGACTCCAGCCCAGTTTGCTCCTTCAGCCCCTGCCACACCTTCCACAGCCCGGCTGCCTCCCCTACCCCCACCCTCTGATCCCCCTCCTCAGCACGGGAGGAGGCATCATCCTCAGAAGGCAGCCCGGGGCTTCCTGGCTTCCCCGCTCTGATGATGAGCAAGGACCAGAGCTGGTTTCCTTCCCCCTGCCTTTTTTTTAGCTGAAGTATAGTTGATCACAGTGTGTTAGTTTCTGGTGGACAGCATAGTGATTCAATTATGTATATATTCTTTTGCATATTCTTTTCCATTATAGGTTATTACAAGATACTGAATATAGCTCCCTGTGCTATACAGTAGGTCCCTGTTTATCTGTTTCATATACCACAGTGTCTATCTGCTAATCCCAAATTCCCAATTCATCCCTCCCCTACCTTTCCCCTTTGGTAACCGTGAGTTTGCTACGTCTGTGAGCCTGTTTCAGTTTTGTAAATAAGTTCATTTGTGTCTTTTTTTTTTAGATCCACACGTAAATGATATCATATGCTATGTGTCCTTCTCCGTCTGACTGACCTCACTTGGTATGATGGTCTGCAGGTGCATCCCTGTTGCTGGGAATGGGATTAGCTCATTGTTTTTTATGGCCGAGTAATAGTCCATCATAAAAACTTTTTTAACTTCTGTAAGACAAACACCCCATGACCCCTGTTTTTGCAGAGACGTAGCTCCCCTTACAGCCTGAAATACCACTTTTAAATTCTTCTGGGTGAGTTGAGGTTTTTTTTGTTTTGTTTTGTTTTTTAATCCTGGTTCTCTTGAAGGCAAGTGAAGAGACAGGGGGCTGTGCATTATGCCAGCAGGGAGTGGTTCTAAAATGACACCTGGAGGGGGGGAAGGATAAAGCTCAGTGGTAGAGTGCGTGTGTCGTGTGCATGAGGTCCTGGGTTCAATCCCCAGTGCCTCTGTTCAAAAAAAAAACAAAACAAATAACTCCAGCATCCAGGCTAGAACCTGCCCTTAAAAAAAAAATGGCGCTTGTCTATGGAGAACACTTTAAAATAAGTCAAGGTAAGAACAGCCCCCTCCCCACCACCCTTCTCCAAGGTTACACTTGATCCTCTAACTGGTTATCCAAGGCATGTTTCCTTCCTGCCCCAGACCCCGGCACAGCTGGCCCCTGGGTGGGAGGCCAGAGCAAAGGTGTGTGGCAGCGTCCACCCCACGTGCCAACGATGCTGAATTCTGAGAAAGTTCCCTAAATGACTGCTCACTGGAAGTGGCACAGCAGGGGTGGGGTCGGGGTCCATTCCCGTCCATGTCCAGCTCCTCAGGGCTTTGCAACTCAAAGTGTGGTCCTGGGACCCGCAGCACCTGTGATCTGCTTAGAAACGTGGAATCACAAGGCCCGCTCCAGCTCTTCTGCCTGAATACATGCTGTTTAACAAGACCTCCAGAGAATCTCACCATGTCCAAGTTCAAGACGCCTAGATGGAGATGGGAGGTTCTCACACTTGATGGTGCACTGGGGTTGCCCCGCTTCCCCAGGAGCTGATTCAGGTATGGCTGGGGCCCAAGGATCTGCATTTCCAGGTTCCCAGGTGTGGCTTACATCTTTCTCTGATCAAGAGTCCACCCCAGGGTCTCAGACTTGGCTGCACGTTGGAGCCACCCTGGGGCACCTGGACCCACCTCCGGGAGACCCTCAGGAGTCTGATTGTCTGTGATGCAGCCTGAGTGGCAGTTTGAGAACCAATGGCCCAAACCACTGACCCAGACCCAAGGTCCCAGACAGCGGCTCCATCCCAGCGCACCTGCCAGAGAACAGGATGGGGACGTCCGGGATCTGCTCTTGCTGTTTGCAAGGCCCAAACGTCCGTGCGTAGAAAAGAATTAGACTGGCCGCCCGGCATATGCTTGGCTATATTCAGGGCACGCAAGCTTTATTTGGCAATGGCGGTATTTCATGAGTGAGCGACACAGCAGTGGGAAAGCTGCTTTTAGCACAGAGTCTGAGAGCAAACGATGACAGCCACAGCCCCTGCCCCCCCCCGCCCCAGACAGGCCCGCTTGTCCCCCACTCCTGCACCGCTGGGCGGGGCCCCAGCACGGTCTCCCTCTGCACCCATGACACGCTCTCTGCGCATGCTCTGCCTCCCCCAGGTTGCTGGGCCGAAGGGAGAGGAGTGGACTGGTCCCCCCGCCACCGCCCTGGGCTCCTTCCAGTCCTGCCTCTTCTCAAGGCCACCCTGGGAGAAGCTGGAGGGCAGGGGCAAGACCACTGCCGCCTCCCCACAGGGAACTCAAGCCTCCCGGCTTGATTCTTCTTTTCCTGTAAAGTCTTTTCCTCCATGAAAGTTTAACAGGGACTCAGTGAAAGAAGGTGCTATTTATAAAGCACTTTGCGCTCACATAGCATCAGCCCTGCCCTCGCCCAACCTTCAGCCAACAGTGTACTGGGTGTCCTTAGGATGGGACCCAGTAGCCCAGGGACAGTGCCCACAGGGAGGGGCCAGCTCAGGAGCGTTCGGGGCCATGTGAGAAAGGTCAGATTTCATTTCAGTTCTGTTTCAGGGAACAGCCCAGCAACCAACCAACCGATAGAGGAAACCACCCAAAACGTCTGTGTGACACCTGTGTGCACTGCACGCCTGCCTCTGTATGTACGACCTTTTATGATGTGGCCTTACATGAACCGTTTGGGACCTGCCTCCCGGCTCTCTGATGTGAGCTGGGCTCCCTGGGGGAGGGGAACGTGAACCCCAGATGGAAGGCAAATGAGCCAATAGGGGAGGAACAGGCGAGGGGTCTCCAGGCACACCTAGGAGACAGCAGGGACTACGTCCGGTGTCAGAGTCCCACTTGGGGACTCTTCAAAGGCAAGGGGTGGGGTAGGGCTGATGGGGAGGGGCTGACGGCAGTGGCTGCACTGTACAGATGGACGGATGGCTGGAGGGTGTGACTGGTGGGGGGCTTGTGGAGGTGGCTGGACTGTACAGATGGACAGCAGGCCAGGGCAGATGGCCCTGCGTGTGCGAACCCCTCCTGCTGGGCAGTGGGCACCACCCTGCCCCACCCTGCCCGGAGTGCCCAGTCGGCAGTCCATTAACACTGAAACGGGGTAGGAGGTGCTCACACTGTGTATGTTTTGACAGATTTGTAGAGTGGGGGCAGCAACCCATGGTTCTCTCTGACGACTTCCAGGTACTCAGAGGGCGTCTCCAGCATGAAGGGCCCGCAGCACATCTGGCAGCAGCACCTGACCCCAGTGGGTGGCTCCGGGTTCTTGTCAGACATGGGGGAAAAGTCAAAATCAGCCACCTATGGTAAACAAAACCCCACGGGTCAATCACCCACCCACCAGGAGCCTCGTCAGGTGCGCTCCCGGGCTCGGTGCCCGGTGAGGTGGCCTTACGAGCTCAGCTGCCTGGCAGCAGCATGCACAGAAACATTGTTCCGGCGCCACAAAGCGCCTCCCTGTGCCTTTGGCTTTTCTGCTCCTGGGGCCTCTCCCTCTTTTGTAGGGAGAGTATTGAAGGTAGCCCTCTCCCTCACCTTCATGGGCACGGCTGCCCGGCAGGGGGCGAGCACAGAAGGAGGTAAGTTATGTAGGAAGCAGCCAAGTCAACAATCGAGCCCCATTCACAGATGCCTCTCGGGCACATCACCCCCGCCCCAGGGCCTTGCTCTGACATCCAGACCACCTCCAGGCCCTCTGGCCCAGCCGCCGTGCCCTCGCCACAGATCCCGTCCTGTCAGGGACCAGGAGTCCAGCCCCCACCCCACAAAACACCCACCTCCACCATGTCCTTCTGATGAGCGGCATTCCGCAGGGTCATGTACATGATGAAGGCCAGCATCATGGTGATAAGCGTGGCACAAGGGAAAGCGAAGACAGCTGGCTGGATGCCTGGGAGTGAGACAGGGTGAAGTCACGAGCCTGGGTAGTTGGTGCTGAATGCTAGCTCTCCAGAGGCGGCGGCACAGAGGAGACAACACTCAGAGTTCACCAGAGCTTTTTTTCCCTTGTGTACATGCATCCTAACCAGGAAACCCAATAGGGAGATCAAGGATTTGGCAAAAACCAAGTTGGGGCGTGGGGGGTTTTAAAGTTTTACTTGATAGCAACTCTCAAGAGATGCAACAAACTTCCTCACCCCAAGTGTAGGCTGGACTTACGGTGCCTTGTTCCTAATGAACGCACAGGCCAGAGTGAGGACGTATGACTTCCTAATCTAGGCCGAGAAAGACCTAGCAGCTGCCTCCTCGTGGGTGCCCCGCGCTGGGGAAGGGAGCCAAGCTGTGAGGACGCCCACGCGGCCCTGTGACCTGTCACAGCTTTCCAGCTTCTGCCCGCTCTGGGCTCACTTCCTGAGCCTGTGGCCGAGAAGCCACACGGCAGGGCAGGAAGAGCTCAGTGTCTGGATTAGAGTCCTGGGTTCAAATCCTGGCTCTGACCAGGTGACCTGAGGGTGACACTGATCCACGAGGCTGCCACAGGGGTGTGAGCAGATGAGGGGAGAGAAGGCGCCATATGCGAGGCAGGTGATCAGCAAGTGCAGTTCCTTCTCCCTCTTCCCCCACCCTCCTGCTAGAGGCGCCACCACACACCATGAGGACCTGTTTCCCAAGGAACGGCGGCCTTGATTACCTGTTGTGCTGTCCTCTCCAAGGAATTGCAGGGGGATCCTGGGCCCTCAGTGCCCAGGAGGTGCTGGGGGAGGCCAGGCCCAAGGTCCCCGGTGACGCCTGCAGGTCACAGAGTCTGCCTGGCCCACAGGGTCAGCCAGGGCCCAGAGAGGAATGTGACATCTCCCCAAGGGCTCAGACGGACTGGGGAGACTGGAGGTGACAGTGACGTACCTGGTGTACTTACAGGGCCACCCTGGGGACAAGGGCAGCAGGCAGGGTTTCCCCTTTTGTTCTGTACAGGGTGAGACCTGACTGGGCATCTGAAAAGACCATCCCTTAGGGTACTGGGATTCTGTTTCCTCCTCTACATAAGAAAGCCCTTTTCTGGGGTCACAGACGGGGCCTCCCCGGGAAATGAAGGGTAGGACCTGACGCTGTCATCAGCCAATCCCGTGGCTGTAAGCCGGTGGCAGCACCTCACAATGGTCTGGGGAAGGGAATTCTGGGGGTGACAGCTGAGCACCTGACGAATGAGGGGCCGTACTGCGCAATTTCTGAGCAGCTCACACTCTCCGAGAGACTCACAGCAGCCCTGCGAGTCCAGCTCAGTCACCGTAAGAGACGCTTGTTTTAGTGGTAGCAGCAACAGTGCCGAGATGGAGGGATGGGTGGGGGTGATGGCTCATTTAGTGCGGGGACAAGTGTGGCAGTGGTAATGTGGAAGGGACACCGACAGGATGATGGCGACAAGAGAGCTGAAGCTGGGACACCGCTGGGGCAGCACAGCATGGATGGCACTGGCCCGAATGGTTGGTGCAGGGGCTGGTGGCAGGGGTGTTAACAGCCGTGCTGCTGGCAGTAAGGCAGTAGCAACGTCAACGCCGTCTCTGGCTCTTGAAGGCGCTGGAGTGTGTGTCTGTAGCAGGTGGCGATGGTGGCGATGGTGCAGGGCAGGTTGGCTGGCAGTAGTTCAGTTGGCTGCTATTACTGCTAGTGGTGCTGGTGTTGAGGGTGGTGCTGGGGGAGCTGAGGGGTGCAGGTGCTGGGGTGCGAGAGCCAGTTGTTGATAGCACCGGCAGTTTGGGGGTGGTGCCGCGGGTGGTCAGACAGTGGTGTGGGTTGGGGCCCGTAGGGTTAGTGATGGTGCTAGCGCTGGTGGGGTCGGGTGTTGAGGTCATCGGTAGAGGTGGCCGGTGGCAGCACACCGGTGGTGGTGGCAGGGCTGACTGGCTTTTGCTGCCTTTGTGGGGAGCAGAGGCAAGAGTCACTTACTGGAGGGCCACACCTGGATCTTGTGGTACTGATGCGTCTTGCTGATGGCGTTCTCGGCCCGGATGCTGAAGCAGTAGTCGCCAGGATCCCTGAAGATGTGGGTCAGGTTGTAAGCCGTGCTGTCCACTGACACCGGGTGGCACTCCCCTTCCTCTAGCGGGAGGCACTCGGGCTTGAGGCGCCAGCACACGTTCAGAGGGGGGCTGCAGGGAAACGGGGGTGTTTTGTTTCAGAAATGTCTCGGCAAGGAGTGTGAGCACAGACCAAGTCCAAGAAAGGCCAGGCGGTCATGAACTTCAGTGTCCTTTCCAGGACAGAACACCCAGCTGCTCTGGCCTCCGCTTCATACCCTCCAGACTGCAGACCACAATGGAACCCAAAAGATGGCCCTGGACCCCAAGGGGACGCCAGGCCAGTGAAGCAAACAGGAACATGCACAGACTGCTGGACGAGGCAGAACGAGTGCTCCAGTGACACACATGGTGTGCTGTGGAAGCACAGGGGACAGGTGAACATGTTCTTAATGAGGAGTCAGGGAGGGCTTCCTGGAGGAGGTGGCATTTGAGTAGGATCTGAAAGGATAAGTAAGCTTTAGATGGATTTGAAGGAGTTATCCATCTGCTACAGCATAGGCTCAGAATCTGGAAAACGCAGGTCCATCTAAGGAGTTCCAAGTGAGCACTCCTGTGTTACACAACCCCAGACCACCGTAAAACGCCCACTCAGCATCCAGGTCTGCCAAACACAGTGGCTTTCCACCCCGCTCTCCGGGTACTAAGCTTTTGCACCCAAAGCCCCCTGAAAGCTTCAGAAGCCATCTCCAGCCCCTTGGCTCGTCTTCCTCTTCCTTGGCCACTCTGTCCCCTCCTGGTCTACCTTTGGTTCCTTCTGACGTGTCCCCATGTCAGAGGATTGAGTGGGGTTGGTCCTTTCCACTAGAGTCCTTGAGGGCTGGGCCCTGACCACAGTTTTTCTGCAGCTCCGTCCATCCCAGTGGCCCCAGAGAGAGGCTCCCTTGTAGGGAGAACACACCAGCATCTCTGTGTCTTATCAGTTACCACAAACTCAGACTAATGGTGGTCTTGGCAGGAGCAGGGCCAGGCCCCACCCGAGACGGCTTGCTTTCCACGGGGCTGGCCAGGTCACATACGGAAGGCTCTTCACAGGAGAGGTCCCTCACCTGCCTTTGCCTCAATGCCCACATGGCAGACAGCCCAAGGCCAGCTCCCTCCCCCAGACCCTGGGAATGAAGCCATGCCCATGACTCTTCCATGGCACGGTCAAGGGTGGTCCCATCCCTCTGTAGGCTCCCCAACCTGGGGCCCCTCAGGGATGGAGCAAGGTCAGGAGCCTCCGATGGGGGGTGTGGGCGGGAACATAGGCCACGCACAGTGTACTCTGGGCTTCACTTACCTCCCCAGGAAGTTCAAGGTCACGATCATCTTTTGGAAGGTCTGAATTAAGGTGGGCCCCGAGACTTGGATGCCTTGAAGGGTTTCTGAAAGGCAGAGAAGACCTTGTTATACCTGGTGGCTGACGACAGCGGTCTCAGGGTTCCCGGGGCCCCGAGGCTGTGTGACCGCCACCCTGTCCTCCTCCTGGTTCTCCCCAAGGGCAGGTCACAGGTCACATTCAGGGCATGCCTTCCCATCAGGAGCAGGTGCTGGAGCCGCTCAGAGTGAGGAAGCAGCAGGGCTCTGGCATGCAGGAGCCGGAGGGCTGGCTCAGGATAGCCCCCTCATCCCCCGTCATCTGTGCTGCGTGGGAGTGAGGGGAAGCAGCACCCCATTACCACACACTGCAGCACGACTGAGAAGCCTGCTGTAGCTACCCCCACACCCCTCTCACCAAAGCTGGGAGAGGTGGGTCGGGGTGTCCCCTCCCTGTGCAGCAGACGGAGGCCATCCCAGCCCCAACAGGATGGTCCTTGACCGGCGGCCGAGGTAGCCGGGGAACAAGGAGTGATGGGGATGCACCAACTCACAGTACAGGGCCCAGACACTGGCTCTGGCTCTGGGTTCAAATCCCATCTCTGCCACTTGGTGGCCACCTGACTTCCTCTGTGGTCTTCAGTGCCCTCTTAGAAACTGGATAATGACAAACCCATCGGGGGCTTCCAGGGGAACAGAAGAGAGGCTGTGCGTCTGAGCTCAGCCCAGTGCCCGACTGGAGCCCCTCTGGTCTGTGTGTGACCCAGCCCTGGAAGGAGCGGTACCCAGGGTTCCCCGAGGGGCCAAACGCCCAACCCACACCAACCTCCAGAGACCCACCCTGCAGCTTCAGCGAGGCCGAAAAGTCGCCTGTCTTCTGCACGATCCTTTTCCCAGCATCCAGCGTTGCCTGCTCCCACTCCGCCACCACCTTGACCTTCACAGTGAAGGATCCGATGATGGAATAGTTATAATAGACTGTAGCATCTTCTGTCACCATCTGGGTGCTGTAAGGTGAAAGGGAGGACAGAGATGACAGAAGTGACTCATGTGGCTTCTTAGAGTCAGGGGTAGCTGTACAGTCAGCTACCAATGCCACAGGAGCAAAAATGTCATCAGGGCAGCAGTCCCCAGAGCAGGCCAGGGCACGAGGTCAGCCGGGCCTGGGTAGAGTGGCTGCTGGTCATCTTTGTACGCGTAAGTTACAGGTGGGAAAACTCCTGGCAACAGGTCCCTGTGACCTGCCAGGAAGTGCTCGGCTCCCCCAAGCCAGGAACATGGGAAAGGCTACATGTTAGACAGGGAAGATCCAGGGAGGGGAGAAGTATAAACTTTGGAGTTAAGACACAACGGGCCTTGAATCTCAGCTCTAGATTTCCTATCTACATAACTCTGGCTTACTTTTCTCATCTGTAAAACAGGAAGAATTAGACCTCCATCACAGGTTACTATATAACATATTAAGTGTGTAACATGCTTTTTCCCTACAATTACCTGAATCTCTTCAAAAGGAAGTCTAGTAGGAATAAAGTATTTTTGTTGATTTGCTGATGCTCTTTATACATGAAGTTTATCTGACCTTTACCTATTCTGTATCTTCCAAATATTTTCTTCCAGTCTAACCTTTATATTTTGGTTTGATTTACTTCTTTCATACTCAAATTTTAAATCTGATGATGCCAAATTTGGCATTTTTTTCCTTCATAGTTTCTGCATTTTATTTTTATTCTTAGAAATGCCTTCCTCACTGCCCAACTATTCAGTTGCAGGTGATCATCTACATTTCAATCTAGTCCTGGTTCATTACGTTTGCTATTTTAGATGTATCTGGAATAGCTTTTGTTAGGGATCAGGTTGTTCTGTTAGGGATCAGATTTTTCCCCAGTTAACCAACTATCCCAGTACTGTTTATTAAATAATCTATCTTTATTCACTGGCTGGAGATACCACTGATATTATACATTACATGTGTATATAAACTTAGGTTTGTTTCTGCTTTTTCTATTCTCTTCCATTGAGCTGCCTTTTCTTGCTGAAATTATTTGTAGCTTTTAAAATACATTTATGTATGCATTTCTAGACCCTTTTCCCACCCCCGTTCATCATCATTCTGCTTTTTTTCATCATTTCTTTTTCTTCTGACAATATCGAGAAATTCTTTCTTCATTTTTTAAAGTCTTTTTAAGGTTCTCAGTACAACTTGTGGTTTTATTCATATAAATCCTACAATTTTAGGCTAACTTTATTCTCTCAGTTTTTATGTTATGTAGCTATTATGAAAGGTTTTTCTGATTGCCATTATATGGAGAAACCAGGAGTCTTTGTTCTGTAACCAGCCATATTACTAATCTCTCTTTTTAGTGCTAAGGTTTTTCAGTTGAGTCTCTTGTGTTTTCCAGGCAAACAGTACTGTTCTGTGTCTATGATGAGTCTTGTCTCCTCCTTTACAACAGCTGTATTTCGTTGGCTAGTCAAACATGTCCAATTGCAATAGTCAGAGAATAGTCTTTAACATGAAAATAAACGCTGCTGATCAGTAAGGAGACTGTTCCCTCGCTTGAGACAGATGTTCTTTTTGTTATAAAACTACATATACATAAAACGTAACTATATGCACATATATAACATGGTTATGTGTATATGTTTGATGGCTATATATGGTTACGTATGTATGGTTTATGGTTATATATGGTTTTATAACAATATACACGTATATATGTATGTATACACATGGGAAGGTGTATGTTTGTGTATATATGTATAAAATTATAATTTATACACAAAATTTAGATGACTTGTAGAATCTTTGTCACATTCTAAATATTATTCGTACTGGAATTTTTACTGGATTTGCATGAAATTTACAGAATAATTGGGAGGAAATTGACATCTTTATGACTCCCGGACATGGTGTCCATACTCATTTACGCAAAGCTTTGCCACTGCTCTGTAGCTCTGTCGCTCTCTTCACGCAGGATCTTTCCCATTTCCAGGTAAGCCTGACTGACCGCCGCCCCCCCGACCTGCAGCCCCTGCTGGCTTGCTCGGAGAGGAGGAGTAAGGAGAAACGGGGCCAGACGCCTGAACTCTGCCAAGCACGCGTTGTCACACATGCACTCGGCTGGCCAGGTCCCTCCAGAGTCAAAGGGAGAAAGATTCTACCCACCTTGACCTGCCTTAAAGGTCACTGGGCGCCAGTGACCCTCTCTGCTAGGGTGCAAGCACCTTGAAGGCAGGTCCCAAGCCTGACTCACACCGGTCCTCATGCACCTCAAGCTCGGCACAGGTGCTCAAGGCATGTTTGGGGTGAGGGAGAGTGGGCGGGTGAAGGTGGGAGAGTACAGAGCACTCCGTGTGGGATGACAGGCCCACCAGCCATGGACCAAGGCTTTGGGGCATCAGTGGGATAAGGACATACCCGTCTCCAAAGTCCCAGCTGTAGAGAAACGAGGCAGCCTTGAAGAAGTTGCTGGGGTCGTGGAGGAGGAAGGAAACTTTAAGGACTGTCTTGGTGAGGTAGGAGCTGGGCCAGGGCAGGGAGGTGTTCTGGGTGACGAGGAGGTTCCCCACGAGGAACTCTGGGAGAGAGAGACCAAGGGAGCATTGAGTCCTCCGAGGTGGAGGAGTGATCTCACCTGCCTGCTGTCAGGACAGCCGCAAGAGGGGACCCCCGCAGGTCCCTGAACGTAGAGGCATATGCCCCCCCAAAAGCATTGCCCCTGCTGCAGACCCACTGATAAAGACCCACGGCTTGTGTCACACATATAGTTCCTCTCTCGCACCCCTTTCACAGGACTCTGAACTCTCTGGCACAAAGGATGCCCAGAGCCAGCCAGAAGGAAACGCACGGGCTTTGAAAGCCACTCTTAGGAAATACTTCAAAGTATGAGATGAGCCTAGAAAAATGAGCATTTCTCCTGATCGCATCTCCACACCCAGTGTGCTGGGCTGGGTGAGGAAGACTGTTCTGTGCCTCCTTCTCTTAAAAAAAAAAATTAAGAGCTGATTTTTTTTCACCACAAAAGCAGAAAGTAAGGTGTGTTCAATAAAGCTCATTTGGAAATGGATAAAAAATGGAATGAAAACAAAAGAAACTGCCTATCACTCAAAACACAACCATGGTTGATGTTCTGAAGAACTGCAAATTATCTGTAAGCACATGTTTAAGGGGCACATATATTAAACACAGATGATCAAGTGGGTTATAGAATTTTGTGTTTGGAGTTTTTAAATTCTCTCAGGCTGTAACACACACTTTGTAAAAGTCATTATTATTCATTATGCAAATTATATTAATATACTTAACCAGTCCCTTTAGAGTTGCATACTTAGCTTAGTCCTGTTTTCTTCTGTTATAAAAACTGCAATGAACATCTTTGTGCATAAACCATTACCCAAAGGGAGGTTTATTTCCCAAAGATAAATTGTCTAATAGGTTGTAAACACCAAGAAAGCAGGGAGTTCTTGGAAAAAGAAGGGTGGGGAGGGTGAGAGGGAGAAAGGAAGGGAGTGGGGAGGGGGAAGAATGAGAGAGAGAAAGAGAGAGAATGAGAAAGAATGGGCCAAAGACTGAAATAGTTTATAACCATCAATATGTATCAATCAGTGGTTCTCCAAACGGTTGTATTCATTTATAGCCCCAGAAAGTGTCCATTTCAGCACAACCCTGCCAGCAGTGTGTATTACCATTTTTTCTGCTCCTTTGTTACCTTGACTGATAGCAGCAAAGGAACCATGAGTCTAATCTGCATTTATGCAGTTATTAGCCAGGCTGGATGTTTTCTCAGTGCCAAGGGTCTGAAGGCAAATCAGCAAGCAGGGAAGTTCCTCACCTGTGATGGGGAGGACGAAGAGGCTCCTGGCCACGGGCTGGCACATCCAGCAGTCGGCAGTGGTGACCCAGACGGAGACAGGGAAGTCCCCGGGCGTGTTCCCCACGGCGCGGATGGTGGAGCTGAACGCCTCGTCTGTCTTCCCCGTGAGCAGCAGTGGCGTGTGGAGCCAGTGGAAGCGGTAGAGGTGGGCGCTGGCGGGCAGGACCAGGCTGCCATTGTCGTCGGCCACCAGGCTGGCCGTGATGGTCACCTCTGCCCCAGTGGTGGCGGGACCATCAGTGGTGAGGCGCAGTTCATACAGGTCTAGGAGCCCAGAAAGAAAGGCTATGTTTCAGGACAGTGTGTGGCAAGGAGCCCCACTGTCACCCTCTGTACTGGCATCTATTATTCTCTTTTACAGGTGGAGAAACTGGGGCCCAGGCAGCTCAAGTGACCCACCCAAGGGTCACACAATTAGTTCATTGTCGGGGGAGGGTGTAGCTCAGAGGTAGAGAGCATGCTTAGCATGCACCGAGGTCCTGGGTTCAATCCCCAGTCCCTCCATTAAAATACTTAAGTAAATAAATAAGCCTAATTACTTCCTGCCAAAACAAAAAATAAACAATTAGTTCACTGACAAGTTGGGATTCAAACCCAGGTCTGACTGACTGCAAACACACGCCCTTTCCAGTGTCCAGTTGCACTAGCTACATTTCAAGGGCTCAACAGCCACGTGCAGCTGAGGATCACCAAAGCAGACAGTGTAGATACAGGAGATCTTCATTGTCCCAGAAAGTTCTATTCGACTGCACTGCGCTGGGTGACCCCCAAGATTCCTGGCAGGGCGCTGGAGTTTTGTGATTCCAGCTGAGTCGACTCCTCCGGGAACTTGAACTGAAATACTAGGAATACAGCCCTTCCAGGCAACCCAGGAACCCGTCTCACGGGCTGTAGGCAGAGACCAGGGCCTGGAGCACATGGAATAGAAGCCCGATAAGAGGCCTTTTAAATAACACTCCCCTCTGACCCACTCACTGAAGGGAAGACTAACTGTATTTATTTGAAAGTAAAGAAAAGTATAAAATTTTTTTTAAAAAATGAAATAATCAATAGAACCACTGTTACCACACTTGGGCATTTCCTACTATTTTTTTTAAAAATTATGCTCTTACTCTGAAATTATATATTCCATTGTTGTTTCCTTCCATCCTGTATCGCAGGAATTCTCCTAAGTCATTTATTCTTCAATTGCTTTAGACTGCTGCAGATTTTGTCATATTAACAAAGTAAGGGTTTAAAAGTAAGGTTTGTTTCCATCATGAAAGTAATATATATGCATAAAGAATATGAGAAATGTCCCCTGCCTCCCAAACACAACAGCTGCTGTCACACTGCTGTCCTCCTGGTTCTTTTTCATGCACGGAAGTTTTTAACTTAGTCATAATCACACTCTGCACACAATTCTGAATTACTTTATTCCACACGGTAACACATCAAAAACATATCGGCAGTCCCACTGGTGGGAACGTCAGTATTTGCATGAGGATCCCTCAGGCAGGTCTGTCTTAATTCCCAGCATCCTTCACTCTTGTCAATAGCAGTACCATATGTCTTGGTAACTATTTTCCTGTCATTTGTAATTTTCCTTTGCAGATGAGACTTCTGGAGGGCTGGAGGCTAAAGAATGTCCAGCCTGTGGCAGTGCACATCTGGGCGAAAGAGGTGATGCCAAAGGCATCATGCCCTCAGCTCATTTCCCTCACTCCCATCCATCTCCCCGGCCACACGCACCCCTTCCGGGGCTTCCGGTACCTCTTAAATGCTGATGGAACCCTGTGACGTTGACCAAGTTTCCACTAAGCAGTACAGTAGCCACTCACCGCGCGCTGTTAAGCTTAACTTAATCAAAGTGAATTACTTAAATGTCATCCATACGAAAAATTCAGTTCCTCCACTGCACCAGCCACATTTCAAGTGCTTCACAGCCATCTGTGGCTGGTTGCCACTCTCCTGGATGGCACAGGTACAGAACATTTCCTCCATCACCCAAAGTTCTGTTGGCCAATGGGGCTCTAGATTTCTCCCTTCCCAAACTTACCACTGGCCTAGAACTCTCCACCAGGGTTAAAGGAGCCAGCTGTCCTGAATCAATTCCCAGGCCTCTTCCACTCTAACTCGCTCTCTCCATCATTACTAACATTGCCGACGGTCAGCATTCAGCCCCCTCTGGATGGATTACTGCTCCATCCTGTCCCTGACCCTTGGCCTCTCATCCTGCCCTACTCTCAGCCACCCCAACAACGAGCTTCCAGCACAGTTCATCTGATCATGGGCCAGCCTCAGGGTGGATGGTGTTGATTCCCATCCTGGCATGCCCACGCTGTAGCTTTTACCCTTTAACCTTTGCAGTTCCCCCCCTGCCACGTGCTGTGTCCTTCCTAGCCACAGGACCTTTGCACATGCTGTCCCCACTGCCCTTCCTTCTTCACCTGTCTGTCTGTGGATATAACCTCTTCCAGGAAGCCCTCCCTGAACCCTTCCCCTCCTCGGTGCTCTCCCAACAGCCCGAGCACACAGCTGTCACAACCCCCGTTGGGATGGTTCCCTCATCTCCCCCACTGCACTGCAGGCTCCTTGAGGGCACGGCAGGAGTCAACCCCATCTCCCTCATGCCTAGCCGAGGGCTTGGCACACAGGAGGGGTTCTACACTGTGCTGCGGAGTGGCATCTGGAGAGAAGGGTGTGGCAAAAGGACCAACCCACCTGGCACTGCCCCAGGAAACTCTTCACTCAGGTGTGACTGTCTGAACCCTTTCCTTGGGCCCTACCCCACAGCTGGTGGGGGACCCAGAAGTAGAGGACATGCCCTGTGCCCCTACAGGCTCACAGGAGATCTGCTGGACTCAGCAAAACTGGGAGGTAAGTAAGTTTGCCCTCAACTGTGCCCCGTTCGCCTTGCAACCACGCTGCCTGCCCCCACTGGGGACTCTGGATCCAGCCTTTCCCCTTGCCCACCTCACATATTCCTGGTTCTTAATGCTTTTCCTTGGGGCCATATTTTGGATTATAAAGTCATTTGGGCTAGCCTCACAATGTCTCAGTCCCAAAGAGAGAATCCCAGACACAAAAGATTCTCCAGGAAAACACAGTGTGTATTTTATACGGTGGGACCCGAGTCCCCAGAGTCCCCCAGGGGATAGTGCTCCTGCCTGGGGCCACAGAGCAAATCTGCACTGCCCCAGGCTGAGTCCCTTGGGCTGCGAGGCAGCATTTGACCAGGCTGCCACAGAAACAGGTGCTTATACGAGAGGCCACCTCCTCCTTTCTCCCTCTTGCTCCTGCCCACCCTCTAGGAGAGAAGCGTGGGCTAGAGCAAGGCTGGCAGGTGGCAGGGACATTTGGCTGCATGCTAATGGCCATCTAGCATCTGCAGCTAGATGGGCGCAAGTCAGCACGACGCAGATCCGTTGCCAGGGGAATAGAATCAGGAGGGCAGCCAGCTCAGCTGGGAGGAGGGATGGGGTGGGGGAGGGGCGGGGATGTGGCTACAGACACTGGCCCAGCTCCTGGGAGCCCCCACCACCTGTCCAGACACTGGAGGCTCCAGGGGCACTTTTCTCAGGCTTGTTTTTAAACAAAACAAAACAAAACAAAACAGAAAAACAGGGGTTTCACAGCCCCTGGGTGATGCTGCCTCTCGTCCTCAGGGCCAGAGGTGTCCAGGACATCCAGGCTGAAACGGACCATAAAGGCTTTACCATGTGTGGCTGAAGGAACCAATCCCAGGTCTGGTTCTCTACCCATTCTAAACCCATCTCTCCAAGTTCATAAGCCCAAGTGACATGGCCGTAGAGTACAGAGCTGCCCAGGCAGGGGCTTAGGGGCTCCACAGGTGCCCAGTGCCCCAGACCTGAAAGGGCCAAAGCAAAAAGCAAAGCAGCAATAGCCACAAAGCAGGCCCCACGGAGGGACACCCACCAGCAGGCCCCCAGGGCCGCCACCTGGAGCATGCACATCTTCCCTGACTGCACAGCCTGCAGGGCCCCGAACATTCTAGAAAAGGGCTACAACAGCCTTTTCATACTGCACATATAGACAGCCCCAAACACTTCCCAAGGTACCTCTGAAGTCTGACAACAGAGCCTGGAACTCATTAATGGTCCAGGACACAGACTCTGACTCCAACCTCGGGTACAGTAAGCACGCCAAGCTGGCAGACCCAGACCCCAGGAAGGGAGAAGGGAGGAAGTCCTTCTGAATCTCTTTTTTCCCCTGTCGGTTCTCCCCAACCCCATTCCCAGCTATTTTGATTGCATCATGGGTGCACTAGGCCAGGCTGGGAACCACGCAAGACTTCCAAAGAATTAATTCTCCCTGCTCTGGCTTTGGGCGGGGGGCAGGGGGTAGTTTAGACTACATAGATGATTTCTGGACACACGTAAGCCTAACAGACAAGAGAACACATTTCTATATGAATTTCTAGGGGAGAGCAGATGATCCTGACCAAGCACAATTCCCACAAAATCCTCTTAATTCATCCCTAAAATTGAAGGGTTTTAGTTTAGCTCGTGGCTTTGATTTCACAAGTTTGCATTAAATCTCTTCCTCTCTCTAACATTCTTTTAAAGTAGGGGGCAGGGAGCTGTAATGAAAAATGTTGGATAATGTTTCACACCCACCCAATAGCTACCCACATCCCAACTGTCCCCCGACAACTCTTCAGTCTGGGTCCTTTTTTGTTTTCTTTTGTCGCCAAAATGGGGCAGAAAAGTTGGTGCTGGCGCCTTCGGCGATGAGGAGGTAGGGTGGTAGAAAGTGGACCCGGGGGACGCGGGGTGGGACCCGGCAGAACCAGCTCGGGTCCATTTTGGAATTCATTCCCAGAGAGGAAATGGCAGACTGGCCTCCTGGGCTCTAAAATCGCACTCTTCCCGAAGCCAACACAAGCAGGGTGGAAAGCGTCTCCAGATAAGGCGACATTTTAAGGCAAAAACGCTGCTCTGCTGGCAGCCTGGCCGCGTTCTCCGGGGGCTGTGGCGTGATGAGCGACCCCGGGCAGTTCGGGTCTCCCCGCAGCGTCCTCCCCCACCCCCAGCGGCTGCGAGGTTCCCAGGCAACGGCATGGATGCGCCGGCCACCGTGCCGTTCCCGGGGCTGGGCCGATCTAGAGGTGGCAGCAGGAACGAGGGGCGCGGGAGACCCCTCAAGTGCCGGGTGACTCCAGGGTGGAGGGACAGAGAGGGC